GTGGTGCAGTGGATTTGGGGCACATGTCACATGTCTTGCAGATGTATTGCGCCGGAGAGTTGTAGTGCATTGTATCGCAAGTCAAGTATTGCGCGCGAAAATCCAGCAATACATCTGCGCCCTAGAATGTAATGCACGCCCCAAATGTATTGCAACCCCACAAATCTGTTGCACCAAATCTAATGTACCACACCCTTGTTGTTGGACCCCCTTTTGGGTCAACCCGAAGGTCAGGGGAGGAGAAGGATACTTCGGGGGCAGCCAAGAGAGGGGGGTGATGACTAGCGGGGGTGGGTATCATGGCGTGGGCCAGGATATCTCCCCAGATTTCATGGCGCCTCTTCTTATTTCAATACGTCCCCGGCCACCCCCCTGTGCCGCGCACGTGCCGCCGGCCATGATTCGCGCCCCCCCTCTTGGACGCCCCCCTCTTGGCCGCCTCCGAGGCGGTTGCGCGGATCCGAACCCACGGGCAGGAGGTCAGGGGAGGAGAGGGGTACTGAAGCGGCTACGCGTCCCCCGTCGTCACCGCTGGATTTCGAAGAAGAACAAACGCTATACACATAAACTTGTGGCGCTCCGCGCGGATTCTTGGATCTGCGCTAGGCACCCTGGCGGCGCCTCCGGCGCCGCCCCTGGCGCGCTCCGCGCGCCAGGGAGGGGGTTCCAGCACAGATCCAAGAAGTCCGCGCGGAGCGCCAACTGTTTATGTGTATGTTGCTTTTTCTTCCTCTAGATGCGGCCACGCGTCCCCCGTCGTCACCGCTTGACTCACCCCGAAGTTCTTGTCGGAGCGCAGCCCGGGAGAGGTCCAGAGAGCATAGTCGAGTCTTACTAGCCGGCCGCTCTGCGGTTGATCGGGAGTTTCTGTATATAGAAGAAGGTGCGTGCGCTTGTTGGCGAGGGTGATGAGGTTCCTCCTCCTCCTCCTCCTCCTCCTCCTCCTCCTCCATCCTTCTCTTGCCTCCGTCTGTCCTCCTCCACCCCGCAGCTCCATCATCTTCTCCTCCTCCTCCTCCTCCTCCTCCTCCTCCTCCTCCTCCTCCTCCTCATTCCTCCTCTGGGCACCTCCCCCGGGGCGCGGATCCACCGGATCTGTCCGGATCTGTCCGGAAACGGTGCCGGAGGCCGCTCTGGGCTCCTCTGGGCACCTCCCCCGGGGCCGGTTTTGTGAGGATGTCTCAAGCGAGGGCGCCGGTTTGGGATTCGTCGGCGGATCCACCGGATCTGTCCGGAAACGGTGCCGGAGGCCGCTCTGGGCTCCTCTGGGCACCTCCCCCGGGGCCGGTTTTGTGAGGATGTCTCAAGCGAGGGCGCCGGTTTGGGATTCGTCACCGGATCCACCGGATCTGTCCGGAAACGGTGCCGGAGGCCGCTCTGGGCTCCTCTGGGCACCTCCCCCGGGGCCGGTTTTGTGAGGATGTCTCAAGCGAGGGCGCCGGTTTGGGATTCGTCACCGGATCCACCGGATCTGTCCGGAAACGGTGCCGGAGGCCGCTCTGGGCTCCTCTGGGCACCTCCCCCGGGGCCCGTTTTGTGAGGATGTCTCAGCGAGGGCGCCGGTTTGGGATTCGTCACCGGATCCAGCGGATCCAGCGGATCCAGCGGATCCGTCCGGAAACGGTGCCGGAGGCCGCTCTGGGCTCCTCTGGGCACCTCCCCCGGGGCCGGTTTTGTGAGGATGTCTCAAGCGAGGGCGCCGGTTTGGGATTCGTCACCGGATCCAGCGGATCCAGCGGATCCAGCGGATCCGTCCGGAAACGGTGCCGGAGGCCGCTCTGGGCTCCTCTGGGCACCTCCCCCGGGGCCGGTTTTGTGAGGATGTCTCAAGCGAGGGCGCCGGTTTGGGATTCGTCACCGGATCCAGCGGATCCAGCGGATCTGTCCGGAAACGGTGCCGGAGGCCGCTCTGGGCTCCTCTGGGCACCTCCCCCGGGGCCGGTTTTGTGAGGATGTCTCAAGCGAGGGCGCCGGGTTTTTGGGACACCGGATCCAGCGGATCCAGCGGATCCACCGGATCTGTCCGGAAACGGTGCCGGAGGCCGCTCTGGGCTCCTCTGGGCACCTCCCCCGGGGCCGGTTTTGTGAGGATGTCTCAAGCGAGGGCGCCGGTTTGGGATTCGTCGGATCCCGGATCCAGCGGATCCAGCGGATCCCGGATCTGTCCGGAAACGGTGCCGGAGGCCGCTCTGGGCTCCTCTGGGCACCTCCCCCGGGGCCGGTTTTGTGAGGATGTCTCAAGCGAGGGCGCCGGTTTGGGATTCGTCACCGGATCCAGCGGATCCAGCGGATCCACCGGATCTGTCCGGAAACGGTGCCGGAGGCCGCTCTGGACTCGTGCTCTTCGCGCCGGGGGTGAGGATGACGTGAGTTCCACAGAAACTCCCTCAAATGAGTAAGTCGACCTTGCCAACTCGAGGGTACCCCTGTGTCCTGTGTATTTCTCCTCATGCCCCCCGCTTTCCTGTGGCGATGTGGCCCTCGGAGGGGTCGAGTGTCCATTCGCGTGTCCTCTCCAATCCAACTCGACTGCAGCGGTGCCAGTAAGCTTTTGCTTCCCCAGGGAAGTGGTTGGGGCACGTGCCAAGACGGGCAAGGGCACCGAGGCAGCAGAGGTCGCCGCGTGGGCAGCCCCTCCACTGGGGCTGGGGTGGCGCACCAGGCCAGGGGCCGTCTCGTCGCAGGTGGAGAGTTTATCCATAACCATCGCCTGGAGGATCGGTCTGCGAAGACCTCGGCATGCGGTGGATGGTTATATTACCCCCCCGGGGCTCCCGAAGACCAGTCCCCAGGAGCTGGTTATGTACAAAGCCTCGCCTCGCATCTTGGGGACTCCGGAGCCTACCTGGGGCAATCTTCGGGGCCCTGGAGCCCATCCTGAGGCCATCTTGCACCGAAAAGCATAGAAGGCAAGACGGCACGGAATCGTTTTGCATTCTGAGCTACGTTTCTCGATCCTCTTCTGGCTCAGACGTCCGAAGACCGCCTGGGGCAGTGTAAATCTTCAATCTGTTGTGGGGCCTGGCTGGCTGAAACTGCCTGGGGGCTGAAGATTCATACTGACAACTTCATCCTCCTTGTTGTCCTCCTCCTCACGCTTGAATCCTACTCTTCTTCCTCCTGCTGCTGGGGTGGGGTGGAAGCTTGCCGTTCGCTCACGGTCGCAGGCCTCGGGAGCCTGTGGAGATTTGCGCGGTCAATGATCCAACCGCGATGGATCCAGCTCTACAGGCAGTAGAGACATCCGTCCCGTCGGCGGAGTCCTTCCCGACTGCCATAGCGTTTGGGGAAATGGTTTGTGGCTGATATAATTTGCATCTGATTGGGGTCGGGCCGAGACAGCCGGCAGGTGACGGGGTTGTGCGCAAACGGGGCTCAGCCAGAGCGCCGGATCCTGCAGGATCCTGCAAAGCACGATTTTGGCTTAGCTGGGTTCTGGACACGCTCGTGGCCTTGGAGGTGGCCTCACATGTTAGTTAAGCCAGGTTTGGGACGTTTCCCTGAGTTTCGTCTAACCGATCCCCATTCCTTCCGGGCCGTTGTTTCTCAGCCCCCCTTCCCCACCCCCCCCCAGTTGGGAATCTGCACTTCGAGACCCGAAGGTAACAGCCTATATGTGGTCCAGGGCATGCCCCCCCTTTCATGCTGATACCATCGCCCCCCCCCCCCGCGCGCGATGGTCTCCCCCCCTGTGGGCTCGGTGGGATCTTCCCCTGCGTGCGTGCGATTGTGGGCATGGGGTCTGGGCATCCCCCCCCCTTTGTGGGTGTGGGGTGGTGGGTGGTGGGGTCGGGCTCTCCGAAGTAGGAGGAGGAGGAGGAGGAGGACGAGAAGGAGGACGAGGAGGAGGAGGAAGATGAGGAGGAGGAGGAGGAGGACGACGACGACGACATTAGCGTCGGCATCGGCATCGGCATCGGCACATGCATCGCCGTCCTAGGCATGACCAGGGAGCGAAAGTGTCCTCTGCGTCGTCGCCTCCCTCTGGGTGTGGCGTGGTGTTGCTGTGTTTCAGGGAGCCAGTGCGGACAGTGTCTTCGTCGTCGTCGTCGTCGTCGTCGTCATTCCTCGCCATCCCCTCTGGGGCGGGGGGGCTGGCCCGAGGGACCCTGAGACCTGTCCCTCTGGGAGGGGGCCCGTGGGCCCAGAGCCCGGGATCATAGATCCCCATCGGTGGGGGGTGGGGGGGGGAAATCTGCCAGTTGCCGCGCAGGTTTCGTATCCTGAGCTGGCCTGGACAGGTTCCCGCCCAGCCGCGCCAACCCCCGCCCGAGGATGGCCGCCCATGGGCCCGCTCGGCCGTGGGCCTCCTCCCAGTCAGTCGTCGGGCACCGTCGGGTTATTCTGGGCCTCCTAGATGGGGTCGGACTAGATGGGGTCGGAGGTTGGCGCCGTATCGCCGATGCATCGGCGATGCGGCTCGATGCGGAGCCCGTGCTTCCCCACGCCGGCGTCGCCGATGCATCGCGGACGTCGCCAGTGCATCGCCGATACGTCGGCGATGCATTGGCGATGCGGCGCGATCTTTCGACCCCATCTACTCGGACCACACCTATGTGGCCTCTAGTTAACCGTCTGTCGGAAGAAGTAGGTAGAAACATTATAATCTTGGAAGGCACTAGAAGTAGATTGGGTTTCCGCCCACCCCCTGAAGAGGAGGGAAGCGGGAAAACCGCCAGACTCTTGATGTAGGACGGCGCCTCACGAAGCTTTGGATCTGGGTGCCCAAAATACCTAGTTTCATGGACTGGCGTGTAGGTAGGTAGGTAAAAAGTCATGGTAGCATGATATGTCTTCGCAATTCCGTGCGGTGGCGCTTGGTGATCGATGGGAAATTACCGATTCAGCGTCGATTTCGTGTCGATCAGCGTCGACTAGCATCGATTTCGCGTCAATGATCCTCGGTTAGCGTGATTCGCAAGAGTTAGCGAGATGGCTGGCATGGGAGATCTCAAGAGTTGCCACTGCAGTCTGGATCCCGAACTTCCACGGATCCTAAGGCTTCAGACGCAGCTGCTCGCCCCGGTGCTCAGCTGAGCGGCTGCGACGTAGTGGCAGAGCTCCGGTGCCACCACCAGACGCAGGGGCAGCGCGGCGTGTCGCATCTGTTTTGGTATCAGCACTGGGCAGTCCACAGTCTCTCCTGGTTCCTCACCATCCGTCTCAGGCTGGGCGACTACAAAGGATGTGGTCACGCCGGGGTGTGGTTCGCGACCTGCGTAGTTTTGGGCTTGGGGGGAACCACGTTGCCCTCGTCGGGCCGCCTCGGGGCGCGGCGGAGAATTCTGACAAGGTCCTCGCGCGCCCCGCAGGGTGCGGGTTGCCAGCCACACCCTGTACAAACCACATTCGGAGTCGCCGGCTGGTGCTCACGACGCATGTTATGTCAGCCAGCTTCTTTCGTACATGACGCGTCGGCACAGCTCACCTCTTCGCGGCGGGGACATCATATCGTGCGACACTAGCCCACACGTGTACGTTCGCACGCGTCGCGCTCAGTACCCATATCTCGCTCAGTATGCATATCGCTCAGTATCCATATCTCGCTCAGTATCCGTATCTCCGCCTTTATCTTGCTGGAGCTGGAGGTGTCGTCGATCGGTTGCACTTTCGGAAAAAGGCATCCGCGCGCGACGCATCAAATTGGAATCATTGGTGAACATCTTAGGTAGGTATCTAGCTGCCTGCGGCATGTCCCGCCGCTGTGTTAGCCTGGCGTTCTGGGGACCACCTGGGGTTGTCTTGAGGCCGTCTTGATTGATTATTTGGCCATTCGGTGGCCCTCCTGGGCAGGAAGCTCGAAAAGGTGAAGCCACTCAATTGTTGCAAACATGTTCAGGAACCTCAGCAATTTTGGCATGCTTGGGCCCTGTTGGTAGTCCTTGTGTGGCCCTCTTGGGCTTTGTTGGGGGCCTTTTGGGCCGCTCTGGTTCCCATCTTGAGCCGCCTTGGGGCACTCTTGTGCCGCCTTGGGGCCATCTTGGACCCTCTTGAGGCATCTTGGGCCATCCTGGTGGCCTTGCTGCCAGCCGCGACGGTCTTGAAAGCTCGGGAGCGCGGATCCATTCGTTTATAGAAGGGACTGCTGCCCCGGGAGCGCGGGCTCATCGCTTTTTGTTCTGGCGGGTAGTTCCCTGAGGAGCGCGGATCCATCGTTCCCATGCGAGGTATCGCGGCCTCGCTGGGAGCAGAGCTGTTCTGTTGTGGCGGCCTCGGGAGCGCGGATCCATCGTTTCTTTTACGAGGGATCGCGGCCTCGCTGGGAGCAGATCTGCTTTGTTGTGGCGGCCTCGGGAGTGCGGACCCCTCGTTTCTTACACAGACTGGGGGGGGTCGGTGCACGCGAGAGAGAGAGAGAGGGGGGGGGGACGTGCCGAGTGGGAGGGGCGCACCTCAGGCAGCCCTTGGCAGTCTACCATGCCTCAACGTGCCACGGGGCACGGTTACTGATCTTAGTTGTTTCATGGTGTTGTGCGTTACTTCGCAGGCATGAGCAGTTACACGTTGGTGCAATTTCTTTTGTCAGCCCCAGGGTTGGATTCATTATAACAAGCAGTTGAAGCACGTCGTGTAGCCTTATCTTCGGGATTGAAATTGTTATCGACGCGCGCGTGCACAGCTCACTTGCCCTTGCGTGCCTCAGAACAACATGCATACATCTCTTGGGCGTGATTCGTCTTGGCCAGCCTCTCTATCGGTGAGCGCTCCCAAAGCCGCGAAACTTCGGGAGGAGTTCGACCGTTTTCTTGGTCTGTCCTTGGGCGATTCAAAGCCGATTCGGGCGTCGGGCTCTCCAAATCGAGCTTTTTGGGGCCGGGAGGGGGGTGGGTTCTATGGCTCTGGGGCTTCGATGATGCCTCCGGTGCAGGCCTCTGGCCTTCTGAGAGGTTTTGTGCGTCTTCGGGGAAGGCTCAATATCTTCAGAAGGGTAAGGGGTTCCTATCCCTCTTTAGAAGGCTCGCCCTTCTCATTTCTCCCCCTCGTTCGCCGCCGAATTTGTCTTTGCACCAAGCTGTAATTCGGATTCTTGTGTCGTCGCAGAACGGAGTGCGCCTACGTATCCTCACGCGTCGCCAACCAAAGTGCAGGGCCTAAGACGAAAAACAACCCCTGCATCCCCCCCTTTCTTTCCTGGAGCCTTCGGAGCTCCCGAGCCCTCCAGGTGGAGCAGCCCACGTCGGACCTCCAGCGGCCGCGCAGCCTTCAAGATTTCCTTCTCGCTGGTTTTGGGTACACTCGTAGGTGGGGTGTAGAATCCTGGTTTTTGTGGCAGATGTATGCCCCACTTCCGCGATGCCACAACGGCTCTTCAGTGGCACCCCCTGCCAAGAAACACCCTGCTTGCCTCCAGGTTGCCCTGGGTTTCTCGGGTTTCGATGGTTCTGCAAGGGACGCCCTGGGGTCTCAGGGTTAGGTTTCTTGTGGAAGGTTTCTTGTTGTGGAGCTCCTACATCGATGGTTCTGCAAGGGACGCTCTCGGGACTCAGGGTTGGGTTTCCTGTGGAAGGCTTCTTGTTGTGGAGCTCCTACAGTACCGCGTTGGCCGGCACTCTAGCAGCGCGATTGCGAGCGGGCCTGCAGACTCCTTGACCGGAAGCAGGGGAGGGCGACCGAGGGAGGGAATGATGGGCCTGTCTTCCACCACCACCACCATAAGTTGGATGGGGGGAAGGAGGAGGAGGACGAGGAGGAGGACGAGGAGGAGGAGGAGGAGGAGGAGGAGGAGGAGGAGGAGGGAGGAGGAGGAGGACACCCTCCCCCTCGAACTTATAGTGGTGGTGGTGGAAAACAAGCCCAGGGAAGTCGCAGGGCAAGGTTCTGTGGTCTCAGTGGCCCAGGGCCTCTCCATCCACGACGATGGGTGCAACTCGTCCGGAAGCTTCCCGTACACATTGTAGTGGCCTTCGGCCAGTGACGCCGATCCGGGTCGCTTGGGGTGCCCCGCAGACTGGGTGGCGACACTCCGCCGACAGACACGCACGCGCACGCTCGCAGACATTACGCGCACACACGCACACACACATGCACACGCACACATTACACGCACCCGCTGATATCGGTCGGCGCTCTTGCGCCAGATACAATTATACAAATATACGTGTATTCGCTGAACGGCT